ATCAACTTCATTAATGTACCTGTAGCCAATGAACCAGGGAAAAAAGTGAGAGACACAAATCATAAATAACAAGAATAAAACAGAGGCACTGCTACAGATGATACAAACATCAAAAGGATAAAAAGAGCAACAACTTTATGCCAATACAGTTTACAACTTAGAAGAACCGAACAAATTCCTGGAGAGTCACAAACTACAAAAGCTCATTGAATTAAAAGAGAAACTGATAACCTAAACAGTCCTCATTCTATTACAAAAATTGAACTACTGGTTCAACATCTTTCCACAAAGAAATCTCCAAGTCAGGCCAGATGCAGTGGCTTATGCCTGTAATCCCAGCACTTTCGGAGGCTGAGGCGGATGGATCACGAGGTCAGGAGTTTGAGACCAGCCTGGCCAACATGGTGAAACCTGGTATGTACTAAAACTACAAAAATTAGCTGGGTGTGGTGGCAGGCACCTGTAATCCCAGCTACCTGGGTGGCTGAGGCAGGAGAATCGCTTGAACCCAGGAAGGCGGAGGTTGCAGTGAGCCGAGATTGCACCACTGCACTCCAGCCTGGGGAACAATGGCGAGACACCATCTCAAAAAAAAGAAAAGAAATCTCCAAGTCAGATAGATGGCTTCATGGTGAATCCTAACAAACATTAAAGAAGAACCAAAGCCAATTCTATATAAATTCTTTCAGAAAATAAGAGGAGAGAATACATGCCAATTTATTAATGAGATAGCATGACTCTGACATCAAACAGAAAAACTATACATTAGATCCTTTATGAACTACAGATGAGAAAAATCAGTAACAATGTATTAGCAGATTCATCAAATTAATATACAAAACAATATATACAAAAGTACTATATCATGACCAAGTGGAGTTTATCCCAGGACAACTAAGTTTAATATTTCAAAATCAATCAATCTAATTCATTATAGTAATATTAAAAAAAAGAAAAAGCCATATAATGTGAAAACCAATAGATGAAGAAATAATAATAATAATTATTTTTTTTTGAGATGAAGTTTCTCTCTTTGTTGCCCAGGCTGGAGTGCGGTGCTAAGGATCTTGGCTTACTGCAACCTCCACCTACCAGGTTCAAGTGGTTCTCCTGTCTCAGCCTCCCGAGTAGCTGGGATTACAGGTGCCCAAGATCACACCCAGGTAATTTTTTTTTTGTATTTTTAGTAGAGACAGGGTTTCACCATATTGGCCAGGCTGGTCTCAAACTCCTGACCTCAGGTGATCCACCCACTTTGGTCTCCCAAAGTGCTGGGATTACAGGCATGAGCCACCGTACCTGGCCGTTTTTTGTTTGTTTTTTATAAAGCGTCTCCCTCTGTCACCGGGCTGGAGTGTAATGGTACAATTATAGCTCACAGCAGCCTTGACCTCCTGGGCTCAAGAGATCCACCTACCTTAGTCTCCTCAGTAAATGGGACAAGGGACAAGAGGTGGGCACCACCACACCAAGCTATTATTATTTTTTTTTTTGGTAGAGACAGGGTCTCACTATCTTGCCTAGGCCAGTCTTGAACTCCTGGCTCCAGTGATTTACCTGCCCTGGCCTCCCACAGTGCTGGGATTACAAGCATGAGCTACCACATCTGGCCCAGAAAAACTTTTGAGAAAATTTAACACTCATTCATGATAAAAACTATCAGCAAACTGGAATGTCTTCGATCATTTAAATTGAAATCCCAGCCACGCATGGTGGCTTACACCTGTAATCTCAACACTTTGGGAGGCCGAGGTGGAAGATAACTTGAGGCCAGGAGTTCAAGACCAGCCTCGCCAATATGGTGAAATCCCATCTCTACTAAAAATACAAAAATTAGGCCAGCATGGTGGTGCATGTCTGTAATCCCAGCTACACCTGAGGCTGACATTCCAGAATTGCTTGAACCCAGGAGGCAGATGTTGCAGTGAGCCAAGATCCACCACCACTGTACTGTAGCCTGGGTGACAGAGCAAAACTCTGCCTCAAAAAAAAAAAAAAAAAAAAAAAAAATCCAGTAGCTAATATTGAACTTGGCAGTGAAAAACAATGCTTTTCACCTAAGTCAGGCACAAGACAAGAATGTCTGTTCTTAGAACTTATACACAACATTTTACTGGAGGTTCTAGATAATGTAGGGAGGCAAGACAGAAATGAAGGGAATATAGATTAGAAAGCAAGAAAGAAAACAGTCATTATTCACATATCACAGGACTGTCCATGTAGAAAATCCTAAGAATCTACAAAAAAAATTACTAGAATAAGAGCGTTTTGAAAGCTTGCAGGTCAAGATAAAAAAAAAATCAACTGCATTTTCACATACTAGCAATAAACAGCGGGAAAATGAAATAGAAATGATCATCATTTACAGCAGCATTAAAAAAATGCAAGGATATAAAAAACATTTACAAGACTGGTACACTGAAAGCAACATTGAAAGAATTTAAGGAAGATCTAAAGAAAAGGAGATGTCCATCATGTTCATGAATTGGAAAACTCTATTAGCATTAATGATTATTGTTCTTGTATTCAAACTGTTATAAGCATTTTAACATTTCTTGTCTCTTAATGAAATGTCTTTATACATTCCTCTAAGGCACTTTGCATCTGATGCTATAAAGAATAAAATGGGGAGTTATTGTTTAGTGTTATTGGTACAGAATTTCTATTTGAGATGACGAAAAACAGTTCTGCAAATAGTGGTGATGGTTACACAACTTGTGAACATACTTAATGGCTTTGAATTATACACTAAAAAATGGTTAAAATGGGCCGGGTGCAGTGGCTCATGCCTGTAATCCTAGCACTTTGGAAGGCTGAGGCGGGCAGATCACGAGGTCAAGAGATCGAGGCCATCCTGGCCAACATGGTGAAACCCCGTCTCTACTAAAAATACAAACATTAGCTGGGCGTGGTGGTGTGCGCCTGTAGTCCCAGCTACCCGGGAGGCTGAGGCAGGAAAACTGCTTGAACCCAGCAGGCAGAGGTTGCAGTGAGCCGAGATCGTGCCACTGCACTCCAGCCTGGCGCCTGGCGACAGAGCAAGACTCTGTCTTCAAAAAAAAAAAAAAAATGGTTAAAATGGTAAGCTGTTATGTATATTTTACATAAATAAAAGTAAACACAAAAGCACAGAAAACAAAAACATGTAAGCAAGCACTGGGGTGAGCCCTTGGAGAACTGAAAAAGAAGTGAAGATGTTAAATGGAAGACAAGTGACCACTGAGAGAGGCACCCAAATCAAGACATTATCAGTGGAGGATGGAGAGAACTTTGGTAAGAGGAACAGAATTTGCCACTCAATGATTTTGCAGTGAATCAGAGACTCTTAACTCACATTGGCTGTATTAGCAGGTGGGAGGGGTTGGGGCTCTAACCAGACTGTAAAAAACAAAAAAGAATAGGATGGGCAGAAGGAGACAATAAGGTGAATCTCAGACATATGCATGAGGGATCTGTGGAACATGTAGGTGGTAATATCTAGCTGGAGGCTGGATATATAGTTTTAACTATATACTAAAAAGACAGAGGTTTAGAATTAAAATTACTTGAGCATCATTAGAATAATAGTGGTAGGTAGTGAACAGGAGAGTGTAAATAGAAGAGAATCAATACAGAATCTGGAGAATAGCAATATTTAAGAGGTCCAGATACGAAGATAAATTTTCTGAGTGAAACAAGAAAGCGTAGCGTCTTTGAAACCAGGAGCAGCATATTTCAAGAGTTACACTTCTAGTTCAGTATGGCAGTCGCTGCAAATATATTTACTTCTACATCTAAACATAAAATTGGAAGAAAATTGAAAATAGAAATAAATCTAGAATACAATTAATATACTAAGGTGTTATTGGAAGGCTGCAGATTTTTAGAAATTGTTAGCAGCTGTAAGCCAAACTCAAGGTAGAGGAGACACATAAGATTCTGAGTTCTTTATACAGGTTGCAAATCTCCATCCTCAAAGCCTCAACACAAGACTTCTTGCTACTTACTAATTCTATATAAATTCTATCAATTTCACTACCATCTTGACTCCAGTTTGTGGATGCGATAAAGCCTTATATATATATTTTTAATCTACACAAGACAGGTTCATTCAGTAATACATTTTCATTTAATTCAAGGAAATGCATTTGTGTTCCTACATAGCTTCTGAGAGAAGACTGAGAGAGGAGATAATGTATGATATACCCACTGACAGTCTTGTTCTGTCACCCAAGCTGGAGTGGAGTGACATGATCATGGCTCACTGTAGACCTGATCTCTGGGCTCAAGCCATATTCCCACTTAAGCCTCCCAAATAACTAGGACCACTGGCGCATGCCACTACACGTGCACCTGGCTAATTCTTTTCATTTTTTCAGACAGAGTCTCACTCTGATACCCAGGTTGGAGTGCAGCGGCACAATCTTCGATCTCTGCAACATCTGCTTCCTGGGTTCAAGCAATTCTCCTGCCTCAGTAGCTGGGATTACAGGTGTCTGCCACCAAGCCTGGCTAATTTTTATATTTTTAGTAGAGACAGTGTTTCACCATGTTGGCCAGGCTGGTATCGAATTTGCGACCTCAGGTGATCCACCGCCTCGGCCTCCCAAAGTGTTGGGATTACAGGCATGAGCCACTGCACCTAGCCTTTTTTTTTTTTTTTTTTTTTTAATTTCTGGTAGAGACAAGGGGCTCTCTATGTTGTCTAGGCTGCCTGGTCTTGAACTCTTGGGCTCAAGCAATTCTCCTGCCTCAGCCTCCCAAAGTGCTAGAATTACAGGTGTGAGCCATCATGCCTGGCCTGATGTATCCACTTAATGTGTGAACATTGGTTAAAGTTGGGAGCATTTGTGGAACATAGAGTCTTATCTGACCAATATGAGAAGAAGTAAGGACGAGTTTTCTGGAGGGGAAGAAAGGCAGAAGGATGTAGGACAAGACAGACATATGCCCAAATATCCTTAAAAAAAAAAAAAAAAAAAAAAAAACTTTCAGAAAGTAGAGAGAAACCATAGCCTTACCTGAGCCATGCTTTGGAGATATGAAATAGATGACCAGTCCCTCCTTTGGGCTCCTCTTTAGAAAAGAGGGAGGTCCTAAGAAGACAAAGCCAAGACAAAAAAAAAAAAAGGCACATGAAACCACACGTGCCTCATAGTTCTTATAATTCCCTTAAAACTGCCTCCATTTCCCTTGTATTGATCCTTGTCCACTCTGAATATGCCACATAAATATAGTGGAGAGAACCAGCTAGGCAAATCCTGTTTTATCCCCAAGGTCAGAGACACAGGCTTTTGGGGCAACAGGATGGATTTTGGGCAAGCTCCTTTCCTCTCAAGCACTACCTTTTCTCTCCTAGTCAGCCTACTATTATTAACTACTTCTAAGCTGTTCTCCATTAAGGCGGCACCATGTATAGTACCACCAGCAATATATGAGAATACCTGTCACTCCACATTGAGGAATACTACTGACACAAATCTTTTTTAAAATTTTAAAATTTTTAGCTTTTTAGAAATCAGGTTTCACCATGTTGGCCAAGCTGGTCTCAAACTCCTGACCTCAAGTGATCCACCCGCTTCAGCCTCTAGGATTATAGGCATCAGCCACCGCACCCAACCTACAAATCTTTTTATGTTTGACTATCTAACAGACGTAAATTGTGGTTCTAGTTTCTTTTTTTCTTACCATGAACAATAAACTTCTTCTCCTAAGTTTAAAAAATGCTTTTAGTTTCTTATCTATGGTCTTATCATTCATTTCATTTTCTATTTTTATCTTCTGAATTGGTGTTAGACTTCTTTAAAGGAAGGAAATTAATCCTTTATTTTTATGGTATGAGTTCCAAATAATTTTTCTTTTTTTTTTTTTGACAGTCTTGCTTCCTCGCCCAGGCTGGAGTGCAATGGTGCGATCTTGGCTCACCGCAACATCCACTTCCAGGTTCAAGCGATTCTCCTGCCTCAGCCTCCCAGTAGCTGGGATTAAAGGCATGTGCCACCACGCCCGGCTAATTTTTATATTTAGTAGAGATGGGGTTTCACCATATCAGCCAGGCTGGTCTCAAACTCCTGACCTCAAGTGATTCACCAGCCTCGGCCTCCTAAAGTGCTGGGATTACAGGCGTGAGCTCCTGACTATAATTTTCCTTTTTTAGAAACAGGGTCATACTCTGCCATCCAGGCTGGAGTACAGTGGCACTAGTCTAGCTCAGTGCAACCTCAAACTCCTGGGCTCAAGCAATCCTATCTCAGCCTCCCAAGTAGCTAGCACGAAAAGTACATGCCACCATGCCCAACTAATTTTTTAAATAATTTTTTTAGATGGGGTCTTACAATGTTGCCCAGGCTGGCCTAATGTGCCCCTCCCATGTGATTACAGGCTTGAGCCACTGTGTCCAACCCCAAATAATTTTTTTTGAGACAGAATTTTATTCTTGTTGTCCAGGCTGGAGTGCAGTGGCACAATCTTTGCTCACTCCAACTTCTGCTTCCCAGGTTCAAGCAATTCTCCTGCCTCAGCCTCCTGAGTAGCTGGGATTACAGGCATCTGCCACCACGCCCAGCTAATTTTTCTGTATTTTTCATAGAGACAGGGTTTCACCATGTTGGCCAGGCTGGTTTCGAACTCCTGACCTCTGGTGATCCACCCACCTCAGCCTCCCAAAATGCTGGGATTACAGGTGTGAGCCACTTCGCCTGGCCAATAATTTTTTATAGTTTCTCATTTGACTTTTTTTTTTTCCAATGTAAAAATACAATTTTAAAAATTATTTGGCCATCTAGTTTGGTGTCACGAGGTACTCCAGAATCTGTATTTCCTTTATTCATCAAAACTGCCATCTTTATCATGTATTTTATTTCCGTTATATATCTAAGTAGATATGAGCTTTATATTTATTTTCACTGAACTGTTCATTTAATTGCCTAGTTATCAGTTTTAAAACAGTTTAGTATCTACTAGGGCTATTTCCCTGACAGTTTCTCTCTCTCAGAATTTCTGGTATTTATCTTCTCCTAACAATGCTACAAAGTTCGAACATTTTTATTAAAATCTTAACGGAAATGGATGAAATGTTAGGAAGTTTTGACATTTTATCATGTTGTTTCTTCCTGTTCTTTTATTCAAGTCTTATTTTTATTTTGTTTTTGAGACAGGGTCTTACTCCTTGCCTAGGCTAGAATGCAGTGGCACAATCATGGCTTACTGCAGCCTCGACCTCCTCAGCTCAAGCGATTCTCCCACCTCACCCTCCTACATAGCTGGGACCACAGGCATGCATTACCCACATCCAGCTAATTACTTTTTTAAATTTAATTTTTTTTTTTTTTTTTTTTAACCGTCTTACTCTGTTTGCCAGGCTGGAGTACAGTGGCATTCCCACTGCTCACTGCAGCACTGGCTTCCCTGGGCTCAAGCAATCCTCCTACTCAGCCTCCTGGGTAGCTGGGACTACAGGCGCACACGACCAAGCCAGGCTAATTTTTTTTTTTTTTTTTTTTTTTTTTGTAGAAATGGAGTCTTACTATGTTGCTAAGGCTCAGTTGCTCCAACTCCTGAGCTCAAGCCATCTTCCTGCCTTGGCCTCCCAAAATGCTGGGACTACAGGTGTGAACCACTGTATCCTGCCTACTCCCAGGTTGCTGGAAACTTTGAGAAAGGGTAAGTGGCTCACAGGGGCAGATACGGGGTAAGATATTCTGTATGGCTGTGTCCAAAAGTGCCTAGAGTAAGAAACAGAATCCATGCCCAACAACAGGGGATCAGACACCGTAGGCACTTCTTAGTCTTGCAGCAGGCTCTTCTTAAAATTTATGTTTTTTATTTTGAAATGACTATAAATCCACAGAAGCTTGCAAGAATAGTGCAGAGAGGTCTCATTTACCTTTCACCCAGCTTCCTGACAATGGTCACATCTTACACAACCATAGCACATGGTCAAAAGCAGAAAACTGGCTGGGTGCCGTGGGTAGCTCATGCCTATAATCCCAGCACTTTGGGAGGACAAGGCAGGAAGATCATGTGAGCTCAGAAATTCGAGACCAGCCTGGGCAACATAGTGAGACTCTGTCTCTAAAAAATAAAAATACACAAATTAGCCAGTACAGTGGTGTGTACCTGCAGTCCCAGCTACTCAGGAGGCTGAGGCAGGAGGTTCACTTAAGCCCAGGAGTTTGAGGTTACAGTGAGCTATGACCATGCCACTGTACTGTACAACAGAGCAAGACTTTGTCTCTAAAAAATAAAAAAAAAATCAGAAAATTGACATTACACAATGCTCCAACTTCTTTCAGATATCGCTAGTTTTCCACGTATTCATTATGTTTCTACCATTTTATCATAGATTTAGATTTGTGTCACTACCACCACAATCAAGAATCAAAATTATTCCATGTAAAGATACTATTTAAAAATAATTGTTTAAATGACTTATCAATCCCACTCCTATCTATCCATGACAAACAAAAACATGTATCTACAAAAAGACCCAAATGTAAATGTTCATAACAGTTTTATTCATAATCACCTCAGAAGTGGAAACAATCCAAGTGTGCATCAATGGATACCCAGACAAACCAACCGTCATCCATCCAGCCAATGGAATATACTACTTCGTACTAAGAAGAATGAAGCAATGATACATGCAATAACATGAGTGAATTGCAACAAGCAAATGAATTGAGCTCATGCCTGTAATCCCAGCACTTTGGGAGGACAAGGCAGGAGGATCCTGTGAGTTAAAGACCAGCCTGAGCAACATAGTGAGACTCTGTCTCTATAAAATAAAAATACACAAATTAGCCAGCAGGGTGGCATGTACCTGTAGTCCCAGTTACAGCTTACTGATTGCAACATGCTTACTGAATCTTCATTCAGACTCAAAAGGCTACATTCTGCATGACTCCATTTATATGAGATAAAATTAGAACAGAGGTTACTGTTGTGCCAGTGTGACTGGAAGGGGCCTAGAGGTGTTCTGTTTTTGTTTTCTTTTTAAATTTGGGTGGTGGTGGTGACATGGGTTTAAATAAATGCAAATATATAGATTTGCTTATATTAAAATGATGAAAGAATAAGCTAAAAACTTAGATAAAAGATAGAATATAATATTCTCTGTTGCTTTTGTCACTAACAAAGTATCCTGGAGGCCAGTCAAGGTGGCTCACTCCTATAATCCCAGCACCTTGGGAGGCCGAGGTGGGCAGATCACTTGAGCTTAGGGAAAGAGAGCAAGACCCTAGCTGCATAATAAATAAAAATAAAATCAGCCAGGTATGGTTGTACATGCCTGTGGTCCCAGCCACTTGGGAGGCTCAGGTGGGAGGATCACCTGAGCCCAGGAGGTTGAGACTGCAGTGATCCATGGCACTACAGCCTGGGTAATGGAGTGACACCTTGTCTCAGAAATAGGCCAGGTGCAGTGGCTCATGCCTGTAATCCCAGCACTTTGGGAGGCCGAGGGGGGCAGATCATGAGGTCAGGAGATTGAGACCATCTGGCTAACTCGATGAAACCCTATCTCTACTAAAACTACAAAAACTATTATGGTGTGGTGGCACGTGCCTGTAATCCAAGCTACTTGGGAGGCTGAGGCAGGATAACTGCTTGAACCCAGGAAGCAGAGGTTGCAGTGAGCTAAGATCCCACCACTATACTCCAGCCTGGGCAACAGAGTGAGACTCCATCTCAAAAAACAAACACACACACACACAAACAAATCCAAAGTATCCTCATGACCCTTCTCCATGAATGCATGAAACTGATTCCTTTTCATGGCTGCATAATACTCCTCAGTGGCACTGTGCTTGGTTAAATTCAGCCAGTTTCCCTCTCTTGGATATTTGGAATGCAATTATTTCTTTACACTTTCCAAAATAAGTCCCTGTGATGTAGATCCAGTGATCCTCACACAAACCCTGAGTGAGGTAGGTCCTATTATAACTGAAATTGACCAACATAGGAGACACAGCTTGCTCAATATTAAACAATGCAGAGGTGGCCCAGCCAAGATTTTTTAAATGACAATATTATTGATAAATAATTCACATACCATACAATTCACCCATTTAAAGCATACAATTCAATGGCTTTTGGTATATTCACAAACCATAATGACCATTCATCCACAATCTAATTTTAGAACATTTTAATCATCACAAAAGAAACCCCAAAAGAATGCATGCCAAATTTAACATCATTAACTGTATGCTTATGTGTTTTTTCCTAAGAGTTTTATAGTTTCTTTTGTTTTGAAACAGGGTCTCACTGTTGCCTAAGCAGGAGTGTAACAGTGTGATCACGGCTCACTGCAGCCTTGACCGCCTGGGCTTAGGTGATCCTCCCACCTCAGTCTCCTGAGTAGCTGGGACTACAGGGGTGTGCCACCATGCCTGGCTAATTTTTGTATTTTTGTAGTGACAGGGTTTCGCCAAGTTGCCCAGGCTGGTCTTGAACTCCTGGACTCAAGCAGTGCACACATCTCAGCCTCCCAAAGTGCTGGGATTACAGGTATGAGCCACTGTGCCCAACCAAAAGTCTTATTTTTAAATGTGCTTTTTATTAATATATCATGTAATTAATAAAGTCACTTCCTTTGTATCTGTTAATAGTCTTTTTTCCTCATTTTTTCTCGCACACTTCCTATTGATTTCTTAATGTTTTTTCCAACAACCCTGAATTTTCTCATTGTTATCGTTGTTCATTTTTAACAGGATGAAAACTTAGAAATCTTTTGCCTCAGTCGTAGCTGATATCCCAAAGATGGTGAATGAAACAAAATTCTAAAAGAATCTCATTTCAGAATAGGATCTTATACAGCTGTTGAGTGTAAAATTTTGCTATCATTAAACTCCTCCCTTAAAAGGGTGGAGAGGCTGAAGGAGGAGAATGTATTTTTAAGAGATTAAGTTATTTTTAGAACAGTTTTTCCAGGGGGAAAAAAGTGAGTGATTCTCCTGTCTTTGCAACACACAAGGGGTCCCTCAGAACCTGATGCCACTAGGAACTAAAGTGGTGAGAGTCTTCTTGGCAAAAAGGTGCATGTTTCTAGGATTTGGGAGGGCAAAGTGACTGAGGTGGCTAATTCTCACCTTAACACTAGGTGAAGACCCCATTGGTGGAGGCTGTCTGGGTTGTCTTGGGTCCTATCAAAGAGGACTCACTGGACAAACTCACCCACCAGAGTGGGTGGGCCATTGCATGCCCAGAGGAAACACTGAGGTGGCAGCTGGAGAAGAGCTATGCCCATAAGAAGGGAAGTGTATCGGGAGGTTCTAAGCAGCAGGTTCTCTTGGGAGGTAAGAGATGACTTACACTAAATTATAGTGGTATCAGTCATGTTAGCCTCTTCTTGTCTCTGACTTCTGACTTCTCATTCCTTTCCCAGCTCCCAATCCGTGAGAGCTGAAGACTACCTATAGGGAGTAAAAAGGAGACAAAATAAAGGTTGGGGAATTAAAAAAACTAATCATGTATACTTTCATATTGCAGACTTCCAGCAGAAGGAATTCATCCAGCAAATAAATAAATAAATAACAAATATATATATCTCTCTCTCTCCAAATAGGAATTTTGAGAGTGGCAGTTATCAAATAAAGGTTTTCTCTGCATTGTCCCAGTGGTTCTAGTCATTTAAGCATATCAGTCACCACTCAATACCAGGTTTCCCAATAAATGATTTTTTGGGGGGAAGGGGAGAGGCAGGGATGGAGTGCAGTGGTGCGATCGGGCTCACTGCAGCTTCCACCTCCGAGTTCAAGTGATTCCCCTGCCTCAGCCTGCAGAGTAGCTGGGATTATAGGTGTGCAACATCATGCCTGGCTAATTTTTGTGTTTTTAGTAGAGACAGTGTTTCACCATGTTGGCCAGGCTAGTTTAAAACTCTTGACCTCAGGTGATTTGTCCGCCCCAGCTTCCTAAAGTGCCGGGATTACAGGTGTGAGCCACTGCACCTGGCCCCAATTTATGATCTTACCCTCTGAAAATTATTTTGCCCTTCCACTCTATTAAAAATAATCATTACTCGTTCTACTTGTTTAATTACCAGAGTCAAATTCTACAGGCATATATAAAATGCCCAATACTCAGAAATCAATCTAAACAATGCATAGTTTAGTCAGAACCCGGTTTCTCAAGCACTCCACCTCAGTCACACAATGTGCCACATCCGTAGTCATCACAGGTCGTGCACACAAAATACTTCAGAAATTAGACATATTCATAGCTGTATCACCCACTTACATAGTCATAATCTCAAAGGCGCCCACATCGTGCACAATTTCACATAACTTATACTTCTACAAAAAGAAACAATATTTCACTCACAATGCCCTCACTGTTGCCTCTCCAGAGCCAGACACAAGCTCAAAGACAAATCGACTCGCACCTAATTTAAATTAAAACTTAACACTCGCAGGGACCCTAGCACCTTCATAAACAACCAGTTCCACAACGTCACGCAGAATAACACATTCCCCCACCACAAAACACAGGACAGGTACGAAAAGCCACATACACGGAGCGCCTGTTGTGTGCCAGGCCGTGCTCCAGGAGCTGGCGGAAGAAAATCGGGCGAAATTCCTGCCACTGCGGCGCTCACCCCCGCCTCGGGCTCCCGGTTCCCTTCTACAGGCGCTCCCCGGCCCGCGCTCTGGTTCCTGCTTCCCTTCTAGCCTTCTCTGGGGCTCGGACTCGCACTTTCCTCCTGCCAACTTCTCGTCCCAGGTTGCTTCTCTTCCCTTCTTGCTTTCCCCAGCCCAGGTTCCCGCCTCCTTACTTCGCTTTCCCTACCGGTCCCACTATCACCCGCTTCCTCAGCGCTGGGCAGACACGCCAGCCTCACCTTCAGTCGCTGGCCGGGCGTCTGCGCACGCGCACTCCCGCGCGGACGGTGCCTCCCAGGTGTCTGCGCGACGCGTTCCTGCAGGCCAACGGCTACGCGCGCCTTCTCCACATCCGGGCGTTTCCGGCATTGGACTACATTTCCCACAGGCTCCCGGGCGGTTTTCGAACTTTGATCTCTGGTTACCCTTCCAAGATCTCAAAGTGCCTGGGTTAGGTGCTGGAGGCGCTCACAGTGAGGAAGCCCCAAGCTCCCAGGCAACTGACAGAGCGTGCACGGCCGTAGCTCGGGCCTGCGTGTGCACGTGTGCGTGTGTGAGCTTTTGACGCCAGGACACGGCGGCGATGTGCGCGGCGAGGCGGCTGCCACAGGTGCGTGATTGTGCTCCTGTCCCTGCTCGGATGCGGAACATTTGGGTGGCTTTGATGTGGGGTGTTTGACACTGTAGGGTCTGAGACCTTCCATCATACTACAGTGCTGCTGTGGTCTAGTGATGGAAGAGCTTTTAAGTCGGTGGTGGTGTGTGTGTAATGGGTGGAGCTTCATTTCTGCAGTGCTGGGTTTAATGTTGGGACAGAGGGGTCTTTTGATCTCCCCCTGTGCCTGTGAGGACTACTATCGACACCTATATTAAGCAGAGTCATCTTGCAATGAAGCATGGCACGCGTTGTCTTCTCAGGGCACCCTCATCCCCGGTGCTCAGCCTGGTGTTTAACACAGGGGATCCTGGTGGAGTGAGTACCCACCTAAGTGCCAATTTTAGACTCGATTGTTTCTTGGGCTCTGCATCTCTGAGTTCCCAGCTTCCTTTTTTCTCCCGCTTTATAGCCGTATAGACCCCAGCTGCAGTGAAAAGGCCATCAAAAAGGGATAATCGAGTGGTGGAATAAAATCTACAATCCGAAAAATCACAGACCTGTTTTTGGAATGAGGCTTTTCGAGTCGTAAGTGTCTTTTAGGCAGAGTTCTGGGAAGACGTGATGGGGAGGAGCAACTGATAAAAACTCACTGTGTCTAAAATCTTAGGATTTTAGATTTAGGACATTTAAGACAGTATTTGAATTAGTACTCTGAAAGGTCTGTGAAGAAAGTTAGGGTCTCTTCAGCCAGAATTCAGACCATTTCAACACTGCATTCCATGTATCATGCACATATCTCCTTTTATAATTTTTTTATGCTCTCAAAGGAGATTTCTTGCCTTGTAAAATTAGTAGATTCTTAATTCAGAAGATTGGAGAATTTTTTTTTTTTTTTTTTTGAGATGGAGTTTCACTCATGTTACCCAGGCTGGAGTGCAATGGCGCGATCTCTGCTCACCGCAACCTCCGCCTCCTGGGTTCAGGCAATTCTCCTGCCTCAGCCTCCTAAGTAGCTGGGATTACAGGCACGCACCACCATGCCCAGCTAATTTTTTGTATTTTTAGTAGAGACGGGGTTTCACCATGTTGACCAGGATGGTCTGGATCTCTTGACCTCGTGATCCACCCGCCTCGGCCTCCCAAAGTGCTGGGATTACAGGCTTGAGCCACCGCGCCCGGCCTAGGAGAATATTTAAAAACTTAAAGTAAAGCTCCTTGAATATTTTATTTCAAATCACTTCACCTCGTTTGTGAATAAGCGCATGGATATAGGCATATAGGATTTTCATTCAAAACAGGGTTATGTAACAATTCTGCTTTGAAATCTACCTGTTTCATCTAACCAAATATAGTGAACAAATTTTCATGTCACCAAATTATGAACTCTGTCATAATTTTTTATGGCTGCTGTTTTGTTTAGATATGTAAGTTATTTCCAGCTTTTTCCCATTATATGCAATGTTTTACTGCATATGCCTTTCTGTACACAGATGGAACTGTATCTTTTAGGTAGCGTCTCAGATATTTTGCTGAGTTAAAACCTGCTGGCTGGGCGTGGTGGCTCACGCCTGTAATCCCAACACTTTGGGAGGCTGAGGTGGGTGGATCATGAGGTCAGGAGTTTGAGACCAGCCTGGCCAACGAGGTGAAACCCCATCTCTACTAAAGATACAAAAAATTAGCCGGGCGTGGTGGCAGACGCCAGTAGTCCTAGCTACTTGGGAGGTTGAGACAGGAGAATCGCTTGAACCTGGGAGGCAGAAGTTGCAATAAGCCAAGATCACACCATTGCACTCCAGCCTGGGCAACAGGGCGAGACTTGTCTCAGAAAACAAACAAACAAAAAAACCTGCTTACACATCTTTATCAATTGCTCTAAGTTTGCACCAATATACAACATAATATGAGACTGTCTATTCACTACTATATGGTATCATTCGTCTGTTATTTATTTATTTATTATTTTGAGATGGATTCTTGCACTGTCGCCAGGCTGGAGTGCAGTAGCACGATCTCGGCTTACTGCAACCTCTGCCTCAGCCTCCTGAATAGCTGGGACTACAGGCGTGCACCACCACACCTGGCTAATTTTTTGCATTTTAGTGGAAACAGGGTTTCACCATGTTGACCAGGATGGTCTTGATCTTCTGATCATGATCCACCTTCCTGAGCCTCCCAAAGTGCTGGGATTACAGGCATGAGCCACTACACCTAGCCATCATTAGTCTTTTAAATCCACCAATCCAGTGGAAATTTTGTTTATTTAAATGAATTACCCATGCACAGGTTTCATTCAGTGTAGTAAAATATGGGCTTCAGAAACAAAAATCAGACTTGGAAGAAAATTGGTTTTGTAGTTAAAAAATGTGATTTTAAAAATACAAATATTCAACTTATTTTGAGTGTGTATGGCTCATACCTATAATCCCAGCACTTTCAGAGGCTGAGATGGGTGGAACACTTGAGCCCAAGAGTTTGAGACCAGCCTGGGCAACATGTGAAACTGTGTATCTACTAAAAATACAAAAAATTAGCTGGATGTGGTCACGCACATGTAGTCCTAGCTACTTGGAAGGCTGAGGTGGGAGATCACCTGAGCCCCAAGGAGGTTGAGGCTGTAGTGAGCCATGATTGTGTCACTGCACTCCACCTTGAGTGCTGCAGTGAGACCCTGTCTCAAAAAAACACCAACAAAAAACTCTTAAAATTGAGAGAAAGACCCAAAAACCTGATAGAAAAAAATGGGTAAAAGAAATGAACACATGAAATCACACACACACACACATACACACACACACACACACACACACACACAGAGAGAGAGAGAGAGACAGAGAGAGAGAGAGAGACAGAGAGAGAGAGAGAAAGCACAAATCTTAAAATTATCCCTTACTGACTTTAAAAAAAAATAAACCCATGCAACCACCATTAAGGACATAGAAACTTTCCAACATCCCAGAAGGCTCCCTCATTTCTCTTCCCAATCATTACACCTCAAAGTTAACCATTATTTTGACCTCTCTAATAGAACAGTTTGGTCTAGTTTTAAACTTTACATAGATTGAATCATAGTATGTACTCTTGTGTTTGGCCTCCTTTTTTCAACATTATTTCTATAATGTTATATCTATATACAGATATAACATATAAGATAGATATAACATCTTTCCCTCGATTTTAAGAGTTTGTTGAGATGCAGTCTCACTCCAACGCTTAGGTTGGAGTGCAGTGACACAATCATGGCTCACTATAGCCTCAACCTCCTTGGGCTCAGGTGATCTCCCATCTCAGCCTCCCAAGTAGCTAGGACTACAGGTGTGTCACATATGTATCTATATATAGCTATAACATTATATAGATATAACGTTATATCCATGTTGCTGTACATAGTAGTAGTTTGTAATTTAACCTCTTTTTTTGTTTTGAGACAGATGTCATTCTGTAGTCCAGGCTAGAGTGCAGTGACACTATCATAGCTCACTGCCACCTCAAACTCCTGGTCTCAAGTGATCCTTCCTATCTGAACTTTTTACCTGTTAGCCAGCATTTTCCCTTCCCTATGCACCACATCCACCCCCAAGTCTTTGATAACCACCCTCCTACTCTCTACTTCTAAGAGTTCAACTTTTTAGATTCCACATATAAGTGAGATTATACAGTATTTATCTCTCTGTGCCTGGCTTATTTCACTTAACATAGTATCTTCCAGGTAAACCTAGAAGGTTTACCTATGTTGTTGCAGATGACCGAATTTCATATTTAAGGCTAAATACTATTCCACACTGTGTGGAATACTATTTCTCCATTTAAAAAAATCCATTGATGGATGCTTAGCTTGTTTCCATATCTTAGTTATTGTGAATAATGCTGCAGTGAACATGGGAGAGCAGACATCATTGACATACTGATGTCAATTCCTTGTGGGGTTGCTGGATCATATGGTAATTCCATTTTTTGTTTTTTGAGGAAGCTCTACACTGTTTTCCAAAATGGCTGCACTGATTTACAATGCCCTCAACAGTGTGCGAATGCGCCTTTTCTCTACATCCTCACCAACACTAATCATTCATATTTGTTTATAATGCCCAACAGGTGCATGGTGATATCTCATTGTGGTTTTAATTTGCATTTCTCTGATGATTAGCAATGTTTAGCATTTTGTATGTCTTCTTTTGTGAAATGTATACAAGTCTTTTGCCCATTTTTAATACAGTTATTTGTATTCTTATTGTTAGGAAGTCTGAGTTCCTTTTATATTTTAGATATTAGCCTCTTATCCAATATATGATTTGCAAATGTTTTCTCCCAGTCTTTGGGTTGTCTCTTTATTCTGTTGTTTCCTTTGCTGTGCAAAGTAGGATTCTCTGTTTTCTGAATTTTAATGCTCAGTATGTATTTCTTTTACAGTCAGAAACTCTATAAGGCTAATCCTTCCCTCCTTAAAACTGGAAGAATTATAGAAGGAGCTACGGGCAGAGTGACACAGGGGGATGATGGTGAGATGTCTTTAGAAAGGACTGAAAGGACCTCAGTTCTCTCCCCTGGCCACTGAGGGCAAAGTTTCTCAAACAATACCTTGAAGTTTTGACTCTTCATATCAGCTGAGCATTTACCTGCAATGGCTTCCCTCTTCTTTGAGCCACCTTAACACATTACTCTCTCCACATTCAGGGCTATCTCCTTTGCTTCAATGAGGAAATCACATCTGGCTTAGAGATATAACGTCCTGTATATAGGAAAAGAAATTGGACTTAGGCCTGTTGTGGTGATGGCAATTCAGGGAGAGGAATATATGAGACAGAAGATAGTCACCTTAGGTGTCAAGAAAATGAAGCCTCAATAATAAAAACACAGTTAATTATTTCCAGTTATAGAAATGTCAGATCAGTGCTTCAAAGGCTCTCAAGAGACTCACAATGAAGGAAAATACTCTCAGCAAACAGATTATAAATAATAAAGGAAAATATTATTAAAAATTTATATTTTTATTTTTATAAATAGAGATGAGGTTTCACCATGCCCAGGCTGGTGTCGAACTCCTGGGCTCAAGTGATCTGTCCACCTCGGCCTCCCAAAGTTCTGGGATTATAGGCGTGAGCCATGGAATTAAGAATAATTTCCTGGCCAGGAAATTATTCTTAACTAGCAAGACTAGGCTCTGACATCACAACCTTGCAGTTACATCCCTCTAAGCAGGGTTCAGCCCCTGACTATGAACCTGGAGGACTTGATGGTTATCCCTGGAAGTGACAGTCCTGCAAATGACAAAAACATTCCAAATCTATTAGGTTGGTACAAAAGTAATTGCAGTTTTTTGCCACTGAAAGTAAGTCCCACGTGACCCCGAGGGAAATGGGAGGTTGGGGTATAGCAGCTAGGCAGCATACGGAAGAAGTTTCTCTGGCATCGTTCAGCTTTGAGTCTAGCAGGAATATACTAGTTTAAAAATTAAAAATTCCAGAACTTCCTCACAATGAACTGTTAAGTGATAAGTTTAAAAAAAAAAAAAAGTTTTAGAATAGAAAAATATAGACAAATCCAAGACATGCTGACAGTGGCTAAAGCAGGTAACTATACAATATGTACAGCTATGCCATTTATCAAAGTGTACATATGTACATACAGATACATGTACATATACATATAGATAGAATGTCAGACATCAGCAATAGAAAGAAAAATACCTACAGACATACCAGGTTTTGTTGGTTTTGTTTTTATTTTTGTTTGAGACTGGGTCTTCCTCTGTCACCCAGGCTGGAATACAACTGCATGAACATGGCTCATGCAGCTTTGACCTTCTGGGCTCAACTGATCCTTCTGCCTCAGCCTCCTGTGTAGCTGGGACCACAGGCACATGCCACCACACCTGGCTAATTTTTCTTTCTTTTTTTTTTTTTGTAGAGATGGGGTCATACTCTGTTTCCCAGAGTGGACTCCAACTTCATGGGCTCAAGCAATCTTCCTGCTTTGGCCTCCCAAAGTGCTGGTAATTACACGTGTGAGCCACCCACCCGACTGAGGTATACCTTTAACATTTAACATTTAATAGGCTGTGATACTGATTTTTTGTTTTAGGTATACTTTTATAAATTTAAACTTAAGTATAGTATACTTGTTACATATACTTCCTATTTTCTTTGCAAGAACCATCTGTTGAGTTTAGGATATATGTTTAAGGCATTTTATTAAATGGAAGATTTTCAAAAAGTAGATTTAAAAAGCTTTTAGGCCAGGTGTGGTGGCTCATGTCTGTAATCCCTGCACTTTGGGAGACTGAGGGCTGATCACTCCAGCCTGGGCAACAGAGTGAGACTCTGTCTCAAAAAAAAAAAAAAAAACTTTAAGAAGTCTTGGGCCGGGCGCGGTGGCTCACGCCTGTAATCCCAGCACTTTGGGAGGCTGAGGCGGGTGGATCA